AAAAAGCAAGACTTAAAACTCTATTTATCAACAATCAAGAACATTGTTATAACAAAAATTACCCCAAGAATATAATAATGAATTAAGAAATTATTACAGGTACTGAAAACTTATGTAAAAAGAACTAGAAGATGAGGCAGGGTAAGTTTTCTGTCATAGCTTTGGGACAGAAGGACTTCCTAAAGGTTGTTCACGGCTCTTAGCTGTTCAACTCTCCTTAAGCTTGAAACTTTCTACTCTAGTTTGAATGGTGAATTTGAGACTGCTTTTTCCCCAGCTGATACTTCATTTCTCAAAATCAAAGTGTGTTATGTTAGAAGTTAAGTTTGTACAGAAAAATAAAGGAAGGTTTCGAATTAAGCTGGGCCTGTGCAGAAGGAAGCTGGGAGTTCAAGTGCTTAGTTTTAGTCTTTGTTTCTCACCATCCAACTCTACTGGCAATAAATTACTTTCCCCAAATCAAATCCATCTTATCCCATAAGTGATTTTCTTGTCTTTATCTCATCTCCCAAGCTTTCCTATATTCTCTTCTTCCCCTTTGCTGTTGAGAGAGAGGAGGAATGCAGCAGTGGCTTGGATGAGCATATGCTAGATGGCTATAGTCAGGTCCACCAGAGGTTTGAAGACTGAATTGTTAACTGAATCTTTGAGGTCACCATGTAAAAAAGCAGAGCATCAGTGTCTGTGTCTTAGCAGTGTGCAGCTCTTCAGTGACATGAAGCCTTTCATTAGTGGGAGCAGTAGCAAGCATCATCTGCCTTGCCTCTGTATCGCTTGTGTGTTCACGTGTGAAACAAGAGGAGGAGACTTCCTTTCACAGCAATGTAAATAAATGTTTGTCAATCCATGGAGGAAATGTGAGGTCTGAGTTCTGGCTACTCAGAAGCCTGAGCTCACTGCTTTGTTCCTGAGGCTGCCTGGGGTAGCGCCTGAGGGGTAGGGCTTTAGTACTGAGCAGCTAGATGTGAAAATCTTGGGAGGATGGGAAAGACAACTGCCACGTGGGGTGGGGGATATCTGCTTTCTGTCATCTTATGCGTAGAAGAAATTATGAAGGGGGTTTAGGGGTGTCTTTGGTAGTGTCTCAGAACAGGAGGTCAGTTGTGGCATCAGATCCTCTCTGATTGTTAAAAGTTTGCAGTGTGATTCTCAAAATGTATGACTTTGCCAAATGAAAAACTTGGCTACAAAACCTTAGCACTTCTCGTGGATAGCAAATGTCATAATAGTGTAATTCATAATTAAATAAACACTACCAGGTGCTGAGGGGGTTTATATCAGGATGAGATAATGAGATTTGGGATTTTTTTTCTTCCTCTGAAGTGGCGAAAGATAATTTGATTAAAAGTTGCAATGGAAAGCCATCCTCATGAAAAAATGCCAGTGATGGTTGTAGAGGTGCTGTGCTGAAAATGTGGGCCTTTTAGGAGTGGGGAGAGTGAATATTAACTGACTGCCACAGCTTCTCAGAAGAGCTTGTAAGCTTGAAAGCTTATCTGTCCTGTGTAACAACTGCTCTAATAGCAGTTGCCTATACGGATCTGGGTATGATTTGTGTTTTTAATTAATATTTCAAGGGAATAAATGTCCAAAAGTGATTAGTGGCAGGTTCCAGTGGATGACACTGAGAAAGAGAGCATTATCTCTTTTAGGATGAGTTACTCATCCAAGAGAACAGATGTTTTGGTAAGGTCATGCAGTGTTTGGCTTGACTGTATGCCCAGTTTAGGACCTACATCTGCTGTGCGTTTTACCAAGGTGGGAAAGGAGTCCACCAGGAGAACTGAGGTAGGAGACTATAAAAGGAAAGGATTGTCACACAAATTAAGGTACCCTTCACCTGAGCAGTTTTGGGAGCTGGAAGTTAGCTACCACAGTAATGAAGACAATTGAGTGGCCTGAATAATGCATTGACTCAATACATCACATCACCCATCTCTGCCGGTGTGTCTCATGAGTCTCATCAGTTAATGCAGGCACTGGAGCAGGCTGGCCTCACTCTGGTGTGGATGCTCCATCTGCTTGTCTGACCCCCAGTGGGAGTAGCTCAGGCCCCTTTGCCTTAGGGTGACAGCCCACTGTATGCAAACCTCAACAATTATACCTGGTTTGCTGCGTGGCTTTGCACTTACTGTAGTGCAAGCACTGGTTATGGCAGGAGGGCTCCGTTTGGAAGGATGAGCTCTCTGGGTGACTTTGGGCTGAATGTGTCATCCCTGTGATCACACACAGACTGGATGTACTCGGCAGTGGCCCCTCAGGATGTGTAACACAACGTACTTCAAGTTATCAATGCAGAAGAGATCAAATACTTTGGAAATAATTTACTCCTGTGATTATTGCTCCTGTGAATTATAAATTATACAAAAACCAGAGCTGTTCACAGGCAGAGTATTTGCTCTTCAGACCAGCACTTGAAAGGCTGCTTTTAAGAAATAAGATTTTTGGAGAACAAAAGGGGAAGTGTACACTACGAAAATTTAGTTAAATGTAAATGTGTTAAATGGTACATGAACTAGTCAGGTTTTCATGATTTATCAGTTTTAAACTTCAAAGGCTCTGTTTAGCTTGCATTTTTAAAACTAATGAGTTTATCACAGCCAGTGGGGAAAAATGGTTCAAGTATATCAGCTGTAAATTGGTACAAAGCACTAAAAGGGACATTAGCCTCTAATCAGATTCTAACAGTTCATTAAACCTGCCTTTCCTCCATGGCGCTTTGTCTTCCCCCCTCCTTCTGCCTGTGCCTCCTGTGTAAGCCAGCCTTGTCCCTTCGCTCAGGCTGGGTAAAACTTCCTCAGGGACACGATGTAGCATCAATTCATCCTTCTTTGTCTATGAGCTAAACAGCCTAAGGGGTGTTTGATGATGGTGTATTCCTGATCTTGCTGTAAAATTCAACTGTGCTGCCTATAAATCAAGAAAGCAGAGGAAAGCAGAGGGACCTCTCAACTTGCAAAATAAGCATTGGGGAGCCAGGAATGCCACGCTGGCTCCTGCTCTTTCTCCACCTCAAACCACATCCAAACTCATGGGGTCTCAGTGACACCTGAGGTCTGCTGCTAATAAGTAAACAGTGTGCTGTTCTTGTTGGGGAGAAAGATGTAAAACCATGTAGGATTTCATCCAGCTTCTTTGTGGCATTAGAGACCCTTCCTGCATTTTTTCTAGCTCATTCTTCAAACACTGAATAAACATCAAGGTGCACAGAATAATTTGCTCAGCAAATATAGGAGGAACTTGGTTTTTTTCCTCTTCCTGTTGTGTCAAGCTTTGAAAGTACAGTAGATGCACAGCAGTAGCATAGCATGGACTGAGACATCTCAATAGCTTGACTGGTTTTCATTCTCACATATTTGAATGCAGAGGTATCCTGCTGAAAATTACTTGTTCAATCTGAAATTTTATAACTCTAAGCTTCTAGATCTTTTTATGAATGATCTAGATCTGCTTTTAAATGAAAGAAATAGAGATTGCACTTGCTTATCTGTTTCACTGTCAAGTTTCTTCCTGTCCTGTAGTAAGTAACCACAGCTCTGGCTGCTGAAATACACAGGGCTCAAAGTGAGGGTGACAGGGATTTTAAGCAGATCATTTGCTCTGCTTTTGGCACCATGTTGGAGCATGGCCATATCAGTTTCCCTGCTTTTCAACATGTTCTTCAAATTACAATAAAGGAGTATACAAAAATAAACAGTTTCTGCAGTATTTATATCCTGGAAAGTGGAGATCCTGGGATGAGGTATATCAATTGGAAAAAAAGAAAATTTTAAAAGTAGTTTAAGTTTTTAGAATGTATTTTGGAAGCTCCATTCAGATGGACCATTTTCCTTAAAATTCCACTGAAGCAACCATGATAAGAAACAGGGCTATGAATGCATTCCTTATGAATAATGGCATCACGCAGTGCTGAATGGATCTGCTGCGTGTGAAACACAGGGAAAATGTTTTTTTCCATTCACATGCAGTTACTGAGGACTATAAGGTACCAGAGCAGAGGTGAGTTTCCAGTGTAGAACCTTCCAAACAGGATTGTAGATTAATAACTGACTATGAATGAGTCACTTGTAAGTGATGTGTGCTCCAGTTACGTTATTTGAAAAATAAGTGTGATGTCTCTGCATTTCTGTTGTACTGATCAAGGTGTCTAAATCTGTAAGGTCACATCCTAGCTTGAAGAATAAAATGTTTTTTATTCCCTCCATGTTGTCCAAACTAAATGGCAGCTGAAGACACATGCTTTCAGACATCACCTTTGAGCCTTGGCTGGAGTAGAAAATTGATTCAGGTTGAGGCACTAGAGGTTGTTTTCAATGTCCTCATAAACTGCTCCAGTAACTGTAAGAATGTTGGTTCAGGGAAGCAGTTCTGCAAATACTTCTTCGGCTTGAAGCTCTCAGCATACAGTGCCCATAACTACATGGACAGTGCATGTTTTTAACTTGCTTTTTTACCTCTCGTCTCAGAGGCGTGTGGAGATTTTCATTGACAAGTGCTGATAACTTTATAGGACAAGGATAAGATATTTGAACAACTGTATGTTAATTTATAATGTGTGTAGTTACAGGCCTTCACTGTAACTTCTCTCCGCTTTGTCTACCAGAAGTACAAATGTTTTGACTGAAATCAGCTATACCTAAGCATACTGCTGAAACTTTCAAACTATTTGACACCACTGCTTTCCTTTTCAATTCTAAAGCAAGGAATTAATATACGTGTACCTGTGTAATTAATTTCAAATTACAAAATAGCAATTGGAGATGATTTTCGCTTGTTGCTTACAAAGACTTAGTTCTTTTTTAAGGATAACTGAAAGTATGATTTATTGTTTTAGCAGAAGTAACTTGGCAGCTACTCCTTGAAATTACTCTTACATCCTCCTCGTTAACTTCATTTCCGCTGAAAGAAACATACTTCTACAATATCATAGAACTTAAACTAGTGAATTGAAACAAGTGTTTTTTTCATAATTTGATTAACCTTGTCCTTTTCTGCCTTAGGACATCAGCGCCTTTGAGAACAGAATGTTAATGCTTGATGGGATGCCGGCAGTCAGAGTCAAAACAGAGCTGCTGGAATCCGAGCAAGGGGTAAGCAGAGGTTTGTGTGACCTCACTCTGGTAACCCTTCCCCAGCTTCTCTGTGGTTAGCTGTCCCTCCTATTTCCTTTTCTATGTTTTTCTTTATTTCTGCTGTTCTGGATCATATTTTCTTGGGACTTGTACTAGTGAGCATTTGGTCTGATCTGCTGGGAGCACAGAACAAAACTCTGCAGAAGAGTTACTGAAATCATCTAGAATAGCTGAGATGCTGTTAGTGTAATTTTACACCTGTTAAAAAAAGGTGCAGTTCAATTTAAAAAAAAAGGGAAAAGGAATAGATTTCAGTAAAGGAAGCCAAATTTGTATATCTAGGAAGTCTATGTATGTATGTATGTATGTATGTACCCCCCTTCTGGGGGTATTTGCCATACTGTGATTGTTTCATCATTTATATGCTCATCCTACTTCATTTTCTGTTTGTGGAAACTTACTCTCTCTGGTGAAATGTACTTGTTTATCATTAAGATAACAGGACTGAAGCTGGTACCATGTCAACTGCTGAATACAGGACAGAGCATGAATTGGATTTTGAATTTTTTTGTAGAACTTGGTGTTGGAGTGATAGTGTTTGGAAGATGGGAGGGTATTTTCTTGCATATATGGTATCAATGATTGTAGATTACAGCAAGTGTATCTGTATTTAATGGATTTTTTGTTATCATGAAGCTTTGTTTCCTTGTGTATATCATGTTATTCCAATGAATCCAAGCCACTTTACTCATCTGAGGACAGATGTCTTCAACAAGCAGCCTAATAGAAACAGCAGTGCTATTGCCTTGTAGGCATGGGCTTTTGCCTAATTCTGTGACTTGGCTTTTTTGTCTTTCTGCTATTTTCTCGGTTATTTAATTGAGAATTTAAATGATATGGAAGAGAGGGAATTAACTTTCAGGATGACTTCATTTGAAATACTTGCAAGAAAATACCGGTTACTCAGGGTGTTTTTGAGACTTTAAGATTGAGAGAAAGAAAAAGGATGGCATTTAATCGCTTTCTTGCTCACCTCTGCCTTCTTGAGAGCAAGTACCCTCAGAAATTACTCCAATACAACATAGTTTGTGGGAATGTAGAAATTGAATTATTATATGAGCCGCAATGATGGAAAGACAGATCCATTCATTTTTAATACCTCCTGGATGCTTTGCATTATGTCTTTGTATGTTACAGAAATGTTTCTCTATAGTGTTCAGAAGACAAAGGTTCCATTGACATTTGCCTTTGTTCAGTTTAAAATAAATTCTGTGCATGATACAAATTGCTGGGTCCTTTATGAAGAGTACTTTCTATAGCAAAAGCATGGGTTGATTCTGGAAGACCTACTTGGTGTCTTAGGAACTGGAAGGAAATGAATGATCTATATAATTTTTTAATTTCCTTAGAGTTTTTAAATAAAATTTTATGGACTTCTGTATAAGCAGAAAATGATGTCATTTTTTCCCTACTGGCTGAGCCACTGGATGAAGAGCTTGTTTGATTTGGAATTTTATGCACTTTGGTACTAATTAAGTAGTGTCTGGTCAAGAGTCTCTGGCACCTTTATGATTCTTCATTAGGGAACAATCAATAAATACAAAATGAATTCTCCAGTTCACTAACAGAAGAGCTGGCCATTAGGATGGCAGTTTTCCAGCAAACAGCTTAAACTCTAAAGAGAGCTGGTTGAAACAGATGTTTGGCATGTCTTTTGGAGACTGCTTTGAATTTGTAGGTGTTGGTATACATAACAGGGACAAGTGTTTGAAGGATGTGATTACCAAAATCAGCACGCAGAGCTATTTAGGAAGATGAATATCATAACTGGGAAGCATGGAGTGGGAACTGAAGTGTGATCCAAGTAGTAGGAGTTTGAAATTTTGGTGTCTGTCTGTGTTGTTATAGTGCTCAAAGTCCCTAGAGTTCTACCTCCATCACAGCATATGTGTGTACTGGGAGATGTGACTTCTGCTTGAAACTTTGGGAGCTACGATGGCATTTTGAGCATAATGTCCAAGGCTTCGTCACTTAGGAGCTGAGCACCAGACAAACTTCCAAAACCCAGGGAAGACATTTGGGTTTTTTGCTCTTCTGGCTTGGTATCAGCTGCAGGCTCTAGGTTTGCAAGGGCAAAAGTGAGACATGTTTAAGGGTTAAGGGTTCTGAAAAAAGATTTCATCTGTGATTGGAGCATCATGAAGGCAGTATCAATTGTGGAGGAGTGAAACCAACAGGTCTGGAGCACCAGTAGCCCTTGACCAGGATGGTGAGCATTGCTCTATCAGACCAGAGGACACTGAGTTGTCATGCTTTGGCTATGAGGCTTTAGGGTGCTATTGTCAAGAAGGGCTACAGCACCACTTTGAGTTGTCTCCTATTTAAGTCTAAGCCCATATTTCAAATAAACATCTTCTTCATTTTAAAGAATTTTTTAAGGATATGTGCCTGTTCCTTGTAGGAATATTGAGTGCTTTTCTGTAGGACACATGAATATGTCATCTAAAAAGGTATTTTCTCTGTAGATGTGCCTTGCTTAACTCTTCCTGTGATTTATGGCCTCCAAGGTGGGCTTTGCAGACATTGCTGGGGGAGTTTGGGTATTGTCTGACCATTTATGAATGGTCACACATTTATGAATGGTTGCACACCCAGCTGGTGCTTCCCTTGACCTATTGACTAAAGAAATAAAAAATCACCAGCTTACCATTCTTGGTAAAGTGAACAATGATCATTCCAATAACTTGACAACATAGAAGTAAAAAAACCCTGCAGGAATATTCCCGTCTACAGCACCAAAATGAAAGTACAATTGGAGAAAGAGGTTTTTATACAAACAACACCAGCTTTTAACCTTGAGTTACTTTTTCACTTACTTTTTGTGACCTACAGTTGTGGTGAAAAAATGCACCATGTGACCATGTCCATTTAATTCATGAGAAATTCACCTTCCCTGTACTGCTCTGGGCAACTTGGTCTTCACCAGGTTGTCTCTTGACTATGTATGGTGGTAGTAGAAGTCGTGCATGATGTAGACGAGAACCAGGACAGAGCAGATACTAGCATTTCCTGCTATGTTTGGATACCAAGTTAGGCAACCAGTCCTTTATATTCCCTTGTTTCTTGTTTTAATTTGCAGACTTCAGTCTTGTTGCAAAAGAGGCTAAGTATAATGTAAGGTTCTTCTCTACCATTTGTGCATGAGCTTCAAGATCTATAACTTTTGTGTTACATGTTTTGTTTTGTTTCATGACTCCTCAGTATCTTTTGCCATATTTGCGTGCTCAGTCCAAGCCTGGTCTGATACTGCTGAAAAGTTTGTAAAAGGTTTTCTTAAGTAGTAATATCTCAGTCCTTACACTGCACAACTGTTACTGATCTAGAGCAAGTGAGCGGTAAGCAAAGAAAGTGTAGTCCAGCTGAGATTTTTAGGGTAGCCCTGGGAGAATGAAACTGTGAAATACTCCCAGCGCAAAGCAGCCCCGTCTCTAGCTTAGTCTGAAAGGAAATTGGAGCTGACATTTCAGCTATGCCCCCTGCACTAGATCTTTGGGGTCTATGACTGGAGAAGAGGTGAGCAGCACTCTGGAACTGCAGCCTGTGTTGGTGCAGTGAAGACAAACCTTTAGCAACCCAGATTTAAGACACTGAGTTCAAGTTAGATGATTGTGGGAGAATAGGATTTAGGCAGTCCATAAGGAAGATACACCTTATGAGATAGAGGTTTCTAGTCAGATTTGGAACAAAGAGGTATTTACAAGGGAAATGGATTTTCTTTTTGCTTTGGAAAAAGTTAAAACTGTTCTGCGTTGTTTTATTGTTGCCAGTTTAGAGAAGTTTAATGATTTTAAGGCCATCAGCATTAGCAAGAACACATGCTTATTTTTCCAGTGAACTACTGTCCTTAATTTTGCACAGGAGATTTAATGCAGTCTATTGTTTGAGGCTTCAGGAAGACACAGTGCTGCTTTAATGACTTTATCACAAATGAAAAAAAGACATTACATAGAAGATATCGCATCGCCCTTTAACAAGGCTTCATTATTATCTCCCCTACTGTGGAACGGGAACTAGCATTGCTAATAAATTGGGAGAATTACTTTAGAAATATGAATTTGCTTATCATTTAATATCCTCCAGTGACCTACAACTTTAGATCTTTTGGGCTGCAGTGAAATCTTTCTCAGTTACCAGCTTTAAAAAAGGACATGAAGAGGGTGGTCCTTCCCCATGAGGCTGAAGGTGGGGTACTTCAGCAGGAAAAAAAAAATCTTCATTCTTTGTGCCAAAAACTATTCTGGAAGTAATACTTCTATTGTAAAAATGCATGGAAGCTGGATTAATGTATTGGTAATGGAGACTGGGTGGGGAATTTATTAGCTCGTGGCTACTGTTAAGAAGTTAGGATGAGCAGTGTTGACCGCTTTCAGTGTGGAGTTTGAAAGACCTGCTAGTCATTGCAGAATGTGGCCCAGTTTCTAAAAATTGGTAAATGTGTGCAACTTAGTGTTCAGTTCCACTTTTTCAAGTATTTGCTGAGTTAGGCTGTAAGCTGTTAAAAGGAGATATAAATGTGAGACTTAACGTCCCCCTACCAATCTTCAAATACAGAGAATGATGAACTGCTAATTTTCATCAGTCTTTTTGTTTCCAGATCTACAGTCTCATCTGTTCCTTTGCCTGCATTTTGTCCTCTCAAATAATCACTGAAGAATTATATATCTTACTCTGAATTCTCCTCCTGATTCTTCTTGATCTGTCTCCATTCAAACCACTTACCATGACTGAGTTATGAAAAGAAATTATTAAAATGACAAAACCCTTTAACAAGCCAATATTGTTCTGTGTCTTTCATAGCCAGCCAAATTATCTTCTTGCCTCATATCTGAAGAATGCCATCCATCCTTTTGTTGTTGTATACAGAAACATGTTTTACCTCAGCCTGGGTAACACTGAAATCTTTTATTTTTCAAGATTTCCAAAAATACCTATTCAGATGTGAGTTCAGTAACAAAGCT